ACATTAATGATGATTTAGATATTAAAGTAATGTTTTTATAGCACAGTAGTTGTAGCTAAATTTGAAACCAGTTTATATTTGTTGGTGACAGTCTCATCAAGCTCTCTGACCAAGTCACAGTAGGCAATAAGAATGATTTAATTCTCTCTGAAACAAAGGCACCAGGAATGAGATGTGCAGATCCACTGAAAGGCTCTGGGGTAAAAATGGGATTTCTGACCTCTGGAGAGGTGTCATAACGCTGTGCCCTGATTGACTGTCAAGAAGCAGGTAGGTTAGGGTGGAAAGGATGTGAGGGAGGCAGAATGGCTGCTGCTACTAGTGATGGAGACCACCAGGACCTCATTAGCTCCTCATTTCATCAAACATCACTGCACCAGGGTGGCTCTCACTTCCCCAGTATACCTCTTTCTCTCTTCATTTCCTTTCCGTCTTTTCATTACTTCTCTCTGCTCCTTCTGTGGTCTCTGTACCTCTTTTCTACCTCTGCCTTTTCTTTCCTGCAGCACTTTCAGGTCTCATTAACAACACGGGTCTGCTAATCTTCCACTATGTCAAAGTCAGCAGATGATAATGATAATGGCGCATCCCCCTACCATACATCTGCTGCCGCCAAAAATCATTTGTTTTTGTTAATGCCAAGAAAATGGAAATTGGTTAGAGCTGTAGGAATGTAAATAGCTGCAGAGTTTCGGCCGGGGTGATATTTCAGGGCACATAAAAGGCTTTGGTTTGCATATCATTGCTTTTCAGTGTTGAGGTCTGCAAAGAAACCGAAAAAAAGCCAATCCCCAGACATGTTCACACATGCAGAGCAAGACCTGCAAAGCCTCAAACATACCAAAATAATGTAGAGCAGCTCAACATACATAATTGGGGCCCTGATAGTGATTTATGTGCACGCAGAGGAGAAAAAGAGGCCACACACTTTATGAAAATTTCATGTAAAATAATGCAAGAGGGAATCGGAGGCTGGAAATTTGCGGAAAACAGTGTGCATAAAAAGGTCTCAACAAGCAAGATGGCACATTAAATCAGATTTAAAACAGAAAAAGTTTCAAGACATTTCAATTTGTGGTAATATTATTTTAACACAACAACAAATTGCTGCAACATTTATTTCCTGTATATCCCTACATTTAAACATGTAAAAAACAAATCTGAAATCCTAAACTTATTTATATGAAAGTGAGCAAAATTCTGATTTCTAATTGAAAAATATTGTCTGCCTGTCAAGATCTGGATCTAAAATACAGCAGCAAACAGAAAGATCATAGACCAACATAAAATGTAAAATCAGTGGAGAAACAGATGCATCAGTAATCAGGAGGTATAGAGCCAACAGTAGATCCATTAATCATCAGAGCAGTTGTCATCCTCGGAAGATGACTCAACAGGCAGCGAGTGGCTTTCACAATCTAAGGAACAGACTGGCAATCAGCTGAAACTTTCCGACACATCAGATGGTGTGAAGGACGCTGCACTGCATTCAGTATGCTGAAACAAAGAGTGAAACTGCAGCCTAGACTCTGTGGAGGACAAAGAGAAAATAATACATGCAATATACTTTGTCTAAAACCCAAAGGCCGAGGATCTATTACAGAACTATTAACACAAATAGCGATTCAGACAGTCACATAGCAGCTGCTCAGTCATTTGACATCTAGATGTGGGGAAGTTATCTCTAAAAAAGTTATAGATGACCATCCAAATGAGGATAACAGGTAGTTTAAGCTATTTTAGTTGTGGCATAGCTGTTGGTTCCGTCTTGGTAATAGGTAAATATCTAACACAGAGAACACTATTCTGGAGACTGGAAAGATTTAGAGTTTGTTGCACATAATCTTTAAATGAACAGAAATCCGAGATCAGATTTGGCTCAGGGATAATCTGGGAAACAAAATTCAGTTAGAATGAGTTGCATACGTCTTAAGAAAATAGTTTCCATAAAGTTTGCTTACAGCTATGTGTTGAGATGTTTGTCAGGGGATGATGATGGTCAGAATCCAGGTGGTTACAGTAGCTTCACTTTTATTTTCTGAGCAACCTAGGGAAATTCGCCAGGAGGGTTTTATAGGATTGAACTAGGAACACTGTGAGAATATCTCCAAATAAGTCAAAAGAGAGAAAAATATCTTTAAGTTTTAAAATAATTAAGTCTAATAAATATAGAAAAATATTGGTAATGAACAAATAATACAAAGAAATGATTTACCCCATATCCAGACCTCTAGAACTACAGACAGGAGGGTGGCAGTGATTAACAGACTTAATATTTATCCTCTCCCAGTGAGGGTACTTTCCTACAACATAAGCTGGGCCACATGAATCAAGCACAGTCTAAATGCCACATTGTACCTGAGTGTTTCTACTGACCTTCCCTTTATCATGAAAATACAGGCTTTTAGATACCTGTCTGACTTCCTGCAGCCCTTCAGATCCCTTAGATCTTATTATCCCTACCTTCATTCTGTACCAAGGTCCAGCCTAATTCACTAAGGCAATATTCAAAGCTACTGTCCTAGCTACTGAATAAACTGTCCTTACACGTTAGACGGACTCCAACTGTATTATCTTAAAACGTATCTATTGTTGCTTGTTATCAATACAGCATGAGAGATTAAGGGGAGGGGAGGGAGTCCTTGCTGGTTTTGTTCTTTCCTTTCCTTTCTTTTTCTGTTCAGCATTTCGGTAAATATATCAAAATTAGAAATTAACAACCTTTATTGTCATTATAAAACCAAAATTAAATGCGGCAAAGAATCCCAGCTGAGCAACACAATTATAGAAGATATATTAACATCCTTAGAGTGAAAATGTGTAGATATTGACGGTCCAGTCCATGAAATGGTCTGATCATCTGTTTAATTGTCTGTCTATGCGATTGCTTTCAATACTTTGGGAATCTTTGCACCAACGCTGCTTTGCACGGCATCCTTGCAGCCTCAGTTTGCACACTGAACACCTAGAAAATGTTTAACTGCATCGGTCCAGAAAAACATGGTGGATTAGCAACAGCTCTTTCTAGCAAAGTTTTCACAAATATAAACCACCATATAGCCCATAATTATCACTGCAATCAGCAGATTCTTTGCGGAATAATCATATATTACATTAAATTTATGTTATCTAATTAAATTATATTTGGACTGTCATATATTGTTCTGTGAAAACACATCCAACTGGCTGTGTTAGGATAACAAATGAAAGTGTGAATCGATCAAATCGTGGTCAAATGAATACATCTGCACATTTATGGAATAAATTCAACGCAACTTCCATTTAAAATATAAGAGTTTATCAACAAAAATAATTTAGCTCCAAGTCAAACCTATTCTAGGTTTAAAAGTTTTAACTGAACAAATGAAAAGCATCTAAACTGAAGAATTCGAAATGAGGTCAAATTAGCTTTTAACTAATTTAGAGCAACTGGAATTTGTTCAAACCAATTCAATGCAAATCCAAGAGGTAAGTAAATCATTATTTGTCAAAATAATGTTTTAACAAATTATTTACTTAATCAGAACCAAAAAAAAAACTTTAGTAAATTTATTCTTAACCTTCTTTGATTGAGCTACTATCTAGTAGAAATGGGCTAACTTGTTTTAAAGGACTGGATGTCCATATCAGGTTATGGTATAACAGGTTATGGCCCAACAAGATTGTGAAAAACTGTCGGACAGAAATTACTTTAATTTTTGGAAGTCTCAAAGATGCATCGAAGATGCTTTGAAAAGTTGGTAGCAGCCGGGTTTTCTACTTCTACATGTTGTGTGTTGTTTTAATCTTACATTCTATGCCTTGTTCGCCCACCTTTGAGTCGGAGAGAATATTAGATAGAAGAGGAAAAAACACATGGAATATAAAAGCTGTCACTTTGTGGTCGAGCATAACAAAGCCTTAAGTCTTTTTTTTCAGGTTCTGATACAGTTGAACCTTTTTCCTGATGGATATGTGACAAATTGTGCAATCCCTGGCTGAGTGGGATCTGTAGCCATGCATCCGGTCCTTTTCTGGACTCCTACAGCATAAACTGAGTCTATATCCGTTAGAAGCCCATTAACAATGCTTTGTGCCGCCTACAAATCTGCTATAGATATATAAGTTGAACTTCACCCTGTCATGATAACATGGACAAAAATGTCAGAAAGATTTTCTCCGTTTTGGGTTGTGGTGCATGGGTTGAGAGCAAAACCCATGTACAGGAACTAAAAGACAAGAAGATGCTAGAAAAAACAAAACAGGGGAAAAATGTTGGTTCATTCCTGATATTTTCATGATATAGAAGATGCATGTTTTCTTGTGGCTCTACAACTTTAGAGGAGGTCCATATACATTAATGTGATAGCCTTAATCATTATTACTACTGTATGTGCTTCTTGTTTCATGTCATGGGTGTTCTGATAAACATCTAACAAGAAAAATGAAACATTTTTTATAACATTTTCATTTGAATTCTTATTCTGAATGTAGGTTTTTTAGAAATACATTTTTCTTAGTTAAACTGTGCCATCCTATGAATTAATTTATATTCAGCAGTATGACTTTCCTCTGTTGGATGTTTTTTCAGTGCTGAAAACAGCTCTGTTCGTATTTAAATCAGCACTGAGATGAGAGGTTTAGGGCTAAACACACACATCCCTCCCATGTGTGTGAATGGGAGTGAGATTTAAGGTGAATCCTTTGTAAGACCCCGGGGCTTCCACCACTCGCAAGGCAATATGACAAGCTACATATGCCCCGGAGGCTGTGTCGCTCTCTGTTTGTCAACAAAGCATTTTCTGCTCCAAACACACAGCAAGGCATTTTACCAAAGTTCTATAAAAGTGTTTTTTTTCCTCTACATTGCATATTTCTATTTAAACTGCAGCTCAACTGAAACGTTTGTAGATTATTATTTAAACGTGAAGAAAAAAAATATAAGACTTATATTTCTTTAGTTACTAGATTGTTTGAAGAGATTTAAAGTTTTTTGTTTTTTACTCTTATTTACCATTTAGCCTCTCGGGATGCACTGCCAGACCTGCTCTCTGGTGACCAGCTCTGGTCACCTTATCGAAGGAGGCCGGGGAAAGGAGATCGACCAAGCCGAGTGCGTCATTCGCATGAATGACGCCCCAACAGCCGGGGCCTACGCCCAAGACGTCGGCCGGCGGACCTCCCTGCGAGTCATCGCCCACTCCAGCATGCAGCGGGTGCTACGCAGTCGGCACGAGCTTCTCAATGCGAGCCAAGACACAGTGTTCATCTTCTGGGGTCCCAGCAACTACATGAGGCGTGACGGAAAGGGCCTGGTTTACAACAACCTGCGGCTAATGAACCAAGTGCTGCCCAAGCTCAAAGTCTACATCATCTCCTGGCAGAAGATGCTGCAGTTCGATGAATTGTTCAAGAAGGAGACGGGCAAAGACAGGTGAGCCTTTCTATTAATGTCCGATGGCATTTTTTTCCTTGTTTTCCTTTTTTCCTGTTTTTGTTTTTCCTGGAGCAGCAAAAGTAATTGTGCTTGCTGAAACCAAGAGGAGAAGATTTTGTTTTCCTTTCTTCAAAAGCAACCCTACTTCTACTGCTATACTTTATCAAAAAGCACATATAATTTTATCTTTATCATATATTTATGCATTCAGAATAGCATTGATCAACTGCTTTTTTATGGAGTGTAAATGGAAATATGACAGGGGATGTGGTCTGTCCAAGGTTGCAGCAGAGCCAGTGAAATGTAACAAACAGCATTTCATACATTTATCATACAATCTGGTTTCTGTCATTTCATCATACAGAACATAAAATCTTACATTTATTAATATAATATTAGCTGGAAATAAGTATCTTAATCTTATTTTACCCCTGAGCCATTTAGCACTGCCTCTCTTCCTCTGGTTGTTTTAACCCTAATATAAAATATATATTGAATCATTATGCTGGAAATCTTCTTGATTTAGTATTTACACATTAGCAAACTGAGGTACAGATTTTTTTTTTTTTTTATCTCCCTAGCATTTTCCTCTGTAATAAATGTTTTCTATCTCAATGAATGACTGACAGCTCTGTCTGGACTGCTCGCACCACTACCCCATTCAGAATTACTCTGAACCAATCAGAGTGTAAGAGAGGCTGGCTGTGTGTGGTAGTGTCCTATCAGAGAAGTGATAGTGCTGACCGGGATCAGCCAATAGCACAAAGTGTTGGCCATCTTTATGCCGAGAAGTTAGAGGGGCGCAGAATCCAAGTTCAATCATATCAAATCAAAATTGAACCTACTTCCTTCCAAAGAATGTCACATATCTGGGCACAGGGTTGTACATGAGTCTCTACTTTGTTCTGTTACATCTTCTCCATCAGCTTGCAGAGTAAGTTTTGTTCAAACTCATGATCTTCTAGCTAGTCTCAGTGCAAAGGCTATAATAATAATTGATAAAAAAAAAAAAATTTACAATTCACCCAAAGTAGTATGAAGATGTCATGCAGCTAGAATGTTAAGATGTTAAGTTTGAAAGCTGGGCTGTGGTCTCTTTCTGGATGGAGTTTGCATTTTCTCCTTTTGAATCTTTTCGATTTAGCGATAAGCGGATCTCTTTAAACTATCCCCATTGATGGATGAATGGATGAATAAAGGAATGAATGAATTAATAGGTGGATGAGAGATGAATAAATGAATGAACTAATGGGTGGATGGTTGGATGAATGACGGATAAATGAATGATCGGTGGGTGGGTGGATGAATGAATTAATGATAAATGGATGGATGAATGAAGAATGAAAGAATCATAGGTGGATGCTGGATGACTGAATGAATGACTGAATGAATGAATGAATGAATGAATGAATGAATGAATGAATTAATTAATTAATGGGTGGATGAATAATGAATGAATGAATTATAGGTGGGTGGGTGGATGAATTAATTATGGATGGATGGATGGATGGATGGATGGATGGATGGATGGATGGATGGATGGATGGATGGATGGACCACATTAAACCTATAAAAGTGAGAACCCACAGGTTTCAACAGTTTTTTATTCCCACTTTACTTCTTTTGAAATGGCAGCTAAACAACCTAGTTTCTGATTTTATATTACTCAAGATTGAGCCTCTCTTTTGGGGCACATTATGGACAAGAAATCCCCTACAATCACTTTGACACTCATACTATATAGGGTGAAATTGAACCCAATCAACTTTAATAAATATGTATTTTTCACAAAAGAGGGTCTAAGTTTGCTCTTCAGGACTTTTGCAGTAAGGATGACTTTGTGAACCATGAGGCGACGATACATTTGGGTTTAAAATGCTAAGCACAAGCTTTTCCCATGGTTCCACACTAATGAAATATCATCTCAGAATATAAATGTGCTTCTCTGTCCAGTGTTTAACATCATCCTAAATGTTAAACACTGGAACTTTTATAACACTAATACCATCATTTACGCCAGCTCATCTGTGCCTGCTGTGCAAACCACTGGTGTACTGTGACCTGACTTAATCCTTTTCCAAACACATATTTATCTGACTATAAGCTTCAGGGATTATAGTGCTGACTGTGATCCAACCCCCCCAGCCACCCCCCCACACACCTCCGAGCAGGGAGTTGTAGGGCTTTATGGTCATAGTTCCTTTTTGGGGAATTTTCTTCCATATGATACCATACAAACCATCTGTCCCCAAAACATTTTAAAACATTAGCATTTATTCATTGAGATCACTTTTATTAGTTTCATAGCATTTTTATTTCATTATTGATTAGATACATGATATAAAAATGACTAAAGGAGGTTTAATATGCAGGTGATGGTATAAGGGTTATACAAACTTAAAGCCTCTAAGCTCATTATCAAGTTTTTAAAATACCAGTGAAAGGTTGTAACAAACATTTTCAAAGAAATGTTAGTTTGCTTTAACAGTCATTAGGATTTTTCCACTGAGTATTGAAAATGGGAGAAATCTTTAAGTTTAAATGTATATATTCTTATATAATAATAGACTTTCTATGTATTGTCTGTCTCATTAAGAAAAAACAATGTCTTGGTTGAAAAAAAAAACTGATATTTAAATCTGCCAAGGGTATGAATAAGCCTGGGCTTAACGGTTTGTGCTTGAGTTGAGTGGAGTTGAAAGGTCTCCGGATTAATGAGCCCAAGCAAAGTTCTTTGTTTGGTGACCATTAATGCTTAATGAATCCCCAACCGAACACATACACTGTGTTCGTCTCTTCCTGTCTTTCTCCAAGCTTTTGACTGGAGTATCATTGGAGGTTGGATTTGAATTGGGCTTAAGAGAGATGCCAGGGGAGGAACATGCCAAGTCAAGGATTTAGAGGCGGACTCAGATATCCATCCTTTAGAATCTGTGCCTGCAATTATAGGAGCAGCTTACAATAAGAGGGCAACTTTTGTTACTGTCTTTTCATGCTGTTCGTCTTTGTATTTTTAGGCTTAAACGTTTATGAGACTAAATTATGGTCTTTCTGCTCTGGGTGTTAAATCACAAGCCTAAACCTCAGTGTTAGACTTCTAATATATGACGACTTTTAAAGGAATCCATTTCTAAAAAAATTAACAGATGCACATTTATAATAAAAAAAAAACACATTACACTGTTTTTGAAAAACGATCAATTTTTATCGCTAAAAGCAGCATCGATAGCATATTTCTGGATAATCAGCAGTGCAACTAGCACCCTGCAAGCTTTTAATTGTAATTATTGGTTTTGTCATTTCACTAAGGGTAATTACAATAATGGGGGATGATGCCACATTCATAGATTTTAATAACAAAGCCAGGGCAGCGCTGGAAAGCAGGTGTCTCTCTGCTGCCTTTGTGTTAAATTGCCAAGACAGAATGAGACTCAACTGGTAATTAAAGGCAAATTAGCTTTTAAAATATGTACCTTTTCCACAGCTAGTGATTTATGTGTCTATAATGGTTTATAACCACCAGCACTAATGTGGCACAGTCCACAATAGGAAAATTTGCAGGGATTCATGACTGTTCAGTCTCTCAAAAAACGTCAAGTTGAATGATTTTAAGGCAAATCATAATCTGAAAAAATCTGCTCTAAAATAAGTGCCTCTCAAAGGGCAGAAAATGACCTCCTCCTCTTTGGAATGGATGCATTAAGTGTTTTTTATATCCATACATTTAGAAACACCTGAAACAGCTCACAGGTTAAAAAAGCTATGTGCTAAATGAGAATAATTTGACACTTTCTCCAGGAAACTTGGTCTGACTTCCATCAGATGGAGGGTGACCTTTAAAGGCCACACACACCCACATGTTTCAGGCTTTTATGACTGAAAAGGCTTCTGCTCAGATTGATGGTGGGCAAACAATTGCCGAGAGACATGAAATGTCAGTGATTTCCTTAACATGTAATAGAAAAGATGAAGGTGTACTAACGATTCACGTGGTGATATTAAAGCGCAGAGACATGGAGCTGTGCAAGAGTCACTTATTATTTTCTAAAGAATAAGTTATGTTGAAAAAAAAGATAAAATATGGGGAAGGTGGATATTTGTTTTTTTAGTCTTTTTTTTGTCTGAATTAGAAGCAAAACAAAATATATGTTAAGATGGGCTGTGGTGATAGTGACAGTAGTGATAGTGACTACTGTAAGTTTAATACAGTGGAGACGGTGGCACCATCAAATAGGCAGGAGCCTGAGGTGGAGTTTGATGTGTTGGAAGATACTGGGATTTGGATAAGGAGTGTCCAGGTTTACTGGGTTGCAATCAGCTTCAAGGTGGAGGATTTGCCTGTCTTCATAGTGATCTTACCAGGCTGAAAAGCCAAAAACAAGATAAAAAGCTGCAAATGGATGCACTGTATACACCCCATGCACCTTTTCCTCCTTTTGGCACCTTCTTTTGACTATTGAGTCAATGTGACGAGTGATTTTCTCCACTGAGAGATCAATAAAGTTTATCTTATTTTATTTTAAATAAAGAAGAAAAACGAGGCAAAGGATATTAAGGGTCTGAAAAGGCTCTGCATGCACAAAAAAAAAATAAAAATAAAATCATACAGTAATAGTGCTATTTTTGCCCTTACAGAGTGTAAAACAGTGCAGAAACAATTTTACATAATAATTTCAGTAACTCAGGTAAAGCTGATTTTGTATAAACCAGGCGTAGTTTACATGTATGCTTTTGGAACACTCCTAAAACATATATATATATATATATATATATATATATATATATATATATATATATATATATATATATATAGAATGCTTACTGTTGTATTTTTTTAGGTAAACTATTTTAAAATCTGTCCAGGGACAACAGATGTAAAATAGCCTTTTGGCTAATTCTGCTGCATTTGCAGGAATGCTTTTTAATGTACACTGTCCCTGTCAAATAAATAAATAAATTAAAATAAATTATATACACATAGAATATATATATATATA